GGGGTTAAACACAGCTGACAGCTCCACCATTAATATCACATGAAGTCAATGGTATAGCAACTGCACTTTGTAATGTGAATTTTGAGATAACGATAACTTGTTTAGTAATTAATAGTTAAAGTAATAAAAGTATTGATTAATCATCAACAATAATTCTGTTTTTAATTCCTGTATACCTCGATAAAATAAACAATATGGAACGGGATTGAGTAGTACTTAAATCGAAGCACCACAATCATCATCGTAAATAAAATCCCATATATATACTAATTGTATATATTAAATTTTATATAAATTATTATAAGATTTCTACATTATCATGTACCTTTACTTCTTTTTAGTCCCTCCGTTTAGTTTTGATTGATGTGACAAGTTAATTAACGAAATTGTTTAATTTATTTTTTTTGTATAAATGACATGAAAAATATAAAAATAAAAAATATGACATGGCATTCCACGTAAACATTAAACATAACTTATAATTTATAAAAACTAAAATTTCAAAATTAAACTTAACCCTCATTGTTCATCATTCAATCTTTTCCCATGCAGACATCCCAAAACAATCTCAAATAGAAAAAAAACAGATACCAGATCAACAATTTCTGATAATCAAAAGATCTAAACAAAAAAATAATAGCAACATAACAATATAAATATGAGTTTTTGCGGAGAATTTCACATGATCAAAGATCAAAACAAGAAAATGATAGCAAGTAATTATGAGATGACAATAGCTTATTTTCTTTATTCTTTTTTTTTATTATTATTATGAACATTTGCAAGTTATTACAATTAAGGTGGAGGGGTTAAACGAAGCTCCACTATCAATTTCACGTGAGGCCAATGATATAATCACCGCCCTTGTAACATGAATTTTGAGATAACAATATTTTTTTTAGTAATTAATAGTTAAAGTGATAAAAATATTGATTACTCATCGACAATAATTTATTCATTGAAAAAAAAAAACATGAACAATAATTGTATACCTCGATAAAATAAATAATATGGGACGGGGTTGAGTAGTACTTAAATCGAAGGCAAAACCATAAGTTAAACCCTTGAACTAACCCCAAAATCGTTATTAAACCCCTAGACTTTAATTGATGCATATAAGCCCTTGAACTCTGGGATCAAAACAATTAAGCCCTTCTTCTTATGCCAACTTAACTGTCGGTGGGAACTCCGTCGCATGGCTTAACTGCCGTTTGGGACACACCTGCTCGGCTGCTTGGATGGCAAAATATTGCCATGTCATGTTTATTATACGACACACTTGACTGTTGATTATGTCTGTCGATTAAGACATAATCAACAGAAATCCCTCTATATTTGATAGACTTGTCTGTCGAATATACCATGTTTTCGAGTAGTGTGAGCACCAAGCAACATTCAAAATGAAATTTGTAGTGCTCAATGTGAAGTTACAAAAATAGCCAGTAGCACTTCCCACTTCCATCACAGAAAATGACAAGAGTTATATACAGTAGCGAGACACGACTCCTCAAAGAGAAGACATGCGTAGCTGCCAGGACATAAAACTGCATATGGCAATGCAATTTAAAAGGTTTAAATAAAATGTACTAAAGCTAATGTTCTAATTTTTAGTGCAGCAGTTACGTAATACATATATAATTAATGAATTAACTTTTATTGGTTAATTAAAAGCAAGTTATCTAAAGAGGGTTTGGCAAAACTTTAAAAATATTGATTTTAAAATGAATTTTTCTCTCCTAAATTTAAAATTTGATTGTCTAAAAATTTTAAATTTGGCTTTTAAAATAGTTTTTAAACAAGTTTTGAAAAGCTTTAAATATGTAATTTTTCCAAAATTTACTTAAAAGTCAATTTAATTAAAAGCTAAATTTTGAATTTTCATATAAAAATTTCAAAATTTATGAGAAAAAAAATTGTTTTTAACAAATTG